TTTCTGGTGCTATATCTTTTTCATTCTTCGATATGATTCTCTCTCTATTTGAGGTTTTTGCAATCTCCACGTGAAGACATTTAATATTGTCTTCCATTATGGTGTCCCTGGCAGGGGCGGGGGGCAGTTCAACCTGGGTCCTTTGTTAGTATAAGTGTTTTCTTGGTACATCAATTATTAAGTTTGAACCAGATTGGAAAACTTTCGAGTGCAAACCTTTTCACTTTTTGATGATTGCTAGGAAGGAGAAGAAAGCACGAAAGAATCTTTCGGTCAATCCAAAATTTTCAGTTCAGTTTTTCTTGTCGAGTATCCTAAATTGTAGTTATATGCTTTATTTAATGGAAATATGTTTTTTTTATTAAACTCTTGTAGTATCTTAGTTACACTTTATTGACCTAAAACTTTGTATTATAGTCTTGGTCATTTTCTCATCACATTTATCTCATTTGTCATCTGCTATCAACCTTAGCGTCTTGAAACTCCATACATCTACACGACTTTGGAAAGTTAAGGACTGCCTTGCCTTTCTATCTTTTTTTGGTTTCCTTGCACCTTCACACAGTTCACATGGCTAATAGTCCTGACTTCAGCTTTCATCAGATAAAGAATAATTGCACCACCACCATTGATCATGTGATTTATTGTTAATTTCTGTAATTATATTAGTGCATGAATTGATATTTAATTCTGTTGTTGCAATTCTTTCAGTGGAAAACAAACAGATAGTATAGCAAAGACTTCTAATCAGGAGGGATCGTCATGGCAGACGACAAACTGCAAGTTCTTAATGCACTTGACGTAGCCAAAACACAATGGTATCATTTCACAGCAATTATCATTGCTGGCATGGGATTCTTCACTGATGCATATGATATCTTTTGCATTTCCTTGGTGACTAAATTGCTTGGTCGCATATATTACCACAAGGAAGGTGCTGCTTCCCCTGGTGCTCTTCCTCCTAATGTATCGGCTGCTGTTACTGGTGTAGCGTTCTGCGGTACCATTGCAGGCCAGGTCTTTTTTGGTTGGCTCGGTGACAAGATGGGACGAAAACGTGTGTATGGCATGACCCTTATGCTCATGGTTATCTGTTCGGTTGCCTCTGGCCTTTCCTTAGGCCATGACCCTCAAGCTGTTATGGCTACCCTTTGCTTCTTTCGCTTCTGGCTTGGTTTTGGTATTGGTGGCGACTATCCTCTTTCTGCTACCATTATGTCCGAATACGCTAACAAAAAAACTCGTGGTGCTTTTATTGCTGCTGTTTTTGCCATGCAAGGTTTTGGGATTTTGGCTGGAGGGATGGTTGCTATTATAGTTTCTGCAGCTTTTAAGGCCAAATACCCTGCTCCAACTTATGAGATGGATGCAAATGGGTCAACCGTGCCAGAAGCTGATTATGTTTGGAGGATCATTTTGATGTTTGGGTCGATCCCAGCTTTACTTACTTATTACTGGCGCATGAAGATGCCTGAAACTGCTCGTTACACTGCCTTAGTCGCCAAGAATGCAAAACAGGCTGCAGCAGATATGTCAAAAGTTCTTCAGGTTGACTTGGAAGCAGAACTGGAGAAGCTAGAACCGAACAAAGGGAGTGATTTTGGTTTGTTCACCAGAGAATTTCTTATTCGACATGGACTTCACTTGCTTGGTACCACAAGCACTTGGTTTTTGTTGGACGTTGCCTTCTACAGTCAGAACCTGTTTCAAAAGGACATCTTTAGTGCCATCGGTTGGATTCCAAACGCAAAAACCATGAACGCTCTTGAAGAAGTTTATAAAATTGCAAGGGCGCAAACTCTCATTGCGCTATGCAGCACTGTTCCTGGATATTGGTTCACTGTGGCATTGATTGATAAGATGGGGAGATTCAAAATTCAATTGATGGGCTTCTTCTTCATGACTGTGTTCATGTTTGCCTTGGCAATTCCATACCATCACTGGACTCTACCAGACAACAGAATTGGGTTCGTTATTATGTACTCTTTAACCTTCTTTTTTGCAAATTTCGGTCCAAATGCCACTACATTTGTAGTCCCTGCTGAAATTTTCCCTGCAAGGTTAAGATCAACATGCCATGGAATATCAGCTGCATCAGGTAAGGCAGGGGCAACGGTGGGCGCATTTGGATTTTTGTATGTTGGAGTGAAGAAATCACTTATAATTCTGGGCTTCATTAACTTGCTGGGGATGTTGTTCACATTTTTGGTACCCGAAGCAAAAGGGAAGTCACTGGAAGAAATATCTGGGGAAGCTGAGCAAGAAAATGGGACAGAAACACAACCTGGGCAGCAGGATAGTAATGGTGTCAAAAGTGTACCAGTTTAATTAAGCTTTGTAATGCTTTATTAATTACTATGAATCTTCGAAGTCACATTTGGGGGTGTATTTATGTGTCTTATATATTGGAGCTTTGGATGCTGCTAGCACTTCCTGCAAATAATATAGGATTCTTATATACGTTGTTGAATGTGAACATCTCTGGAATGCCATTGTTAACATCTTTAAGGTTGTTGATTGGAGATTTTGCTAATAATTTAGCTTAGCGTTTGAAGAAGAAAAATCGTGTGATTCAACCCTATTTGATGAACACAATATTGAAGAAGAAGCCCATCAATTGAAATCGAAAAATGTTTGCACTCTAGAGCTCATCCAAAAAGGAAAGTTGGATTTTAAAATCCAAATCCATGGTCTCAGATCCACAACAATGCATTCTCTTGTTCTAGCTTGTTTTAGTGCAAGCAGATGAGTTCGTACATTTATGTTATAATGTCTGTTTATATGTAAACGACTACGTTTATAGTATCATACTTAGTTAACCATACTGTTTTTATATTTTAATAGTTTTAACTTACATCAATGTTCTCTTACATATGTCTCCTAGAGTCTGTCCATTGTTGTGCGGAAGGCTACTACTTTTTGGCCTGTGTGGCCCGGTGCCTACACCTTGATCGCTATGGGAGCGAGCTTCTTCCGAAGGCAACCAAGGAAGCACATGGAAAAGATGTCAACCCTGACACTGGAAGTATTTGCTAGCTCTTGATTTGCCATAGGAGCCGAGACTAGCCAGCTAGTTATTGTCCATGTAGAACCAAAAATACACATGACAAAAAAACAGAAGGAAGCCTGCCTGCTAGAATAAACACTACCACCAATGTCATATTAAGGTTGAAGAGACTATTTCAATGCAACTTGTTAGGAACCTTTCATTCACCATTAAAACCAGTCTTATATTACTTAACATCAACAAGAAAACAAGTAAGTTTTTCAATGGAGTATGGTGCTGCAGTGAAAGCATCTTTTGAAATTAAAGCATGGAACTCGTTCCGTATTACCAACAATAGCATGGGCTCTAAGCCTCAGTGAATGGGCTTGAAGCAACAAGCAGGAATGGTCAAGATGAAAAATCTTTATACACTGATTTTTATTTATATATTTTTTTCTGATGATTCAAAATTGAAGAGGGAAATAAGGGATGAGTCACACCCACCACATCAAAGGCTTTTCCTCACATGAAAAATAAATTATGCAAGTACGGGAGCAGAGGAGATATTGTTATCTTTAATTTGTTAATCTTTATATTTCTTATGGTATTTCAAAAAATAAATAAATAAATACAGATACGGTGGTCGGGGGTACAGTCCACCCTCATGGGTCAAATGGTTTTGTTGGTTCGGAGATTTCGCAGATTTCTCTGATATTTCACTGTTTTTTTTTTTCGAAAACCATTTTTATTTTCCTTATGTAGTTTTCTTCGGATTAAACGTGCTTTTTTTTTTCTCCTTTGATATTTTAGCGGATGAATGATTGGTGGATTCAGTTTTCCTCCCTTGAGGAAGTAATTGATGTAAACTTCTCCTATTTTCTTAGCCAAAGGAAATAAAAGAAAATCATAAATATTTAACATCGTCAATGTTATAATTTTTTAAATCATAAATATATATATGTATTATAATTAAGAGTATGGGAACATTTAATCTGTCTTTTTCAATGTTAAAAATCATCGTCACAAAAAATTGTTTTTTAAAATATTTAACATCATCACAACAATACTCCTATCTTTACTTTGTTTTTTTTATAGAATATTCATCTTTGATATTTAATTGGTAATTGCAACAGAAAATATTTTAATATAGCTACGGTCGATGGTACGGCCCACCCACGTGAATCAAATGGCCTTTTTGTATTTATGTTCTTTTGGGATATTGACAGATTTCGTTGCTTTACACCACTCTTTCTGTGAATGCCACGTACTTCGCATAAAACTTTTCTGTTTCCAGAAGACATATCAGATGAAATTATTTTCTTTTTTCATTTGTCCTGATTACACGCGCTTTCTTTTTTGCCCTTTAAATTTTATCTTCGTTTTTTTAAAATTTATAAAATCATAAGTATGAAAAATTCTTTAATAATCATTTTGGATAAGTAATTAATCTATCTATACGATGAAGATCTATGGGATAGAGTGTTATGAATTTCAAATGAGTTTTGGATTTGTATATAAAAATTTTCATTTATCTATTAAGTTATTTTTTAAATTAAAAATATGAATTCATGAAAATTACATCATATTATCAAATAATCAAATTCAATTTTTGAGTTTCAAGTCTTGGTGATGTCCTAAAATCAGGGAAAAAAGAGAGGCAAACTGATTGATTAATTAATTGTTTTTCACTTTCAACAAAAATGGAGTTAACAAAAAAAAACACTGAAATTTCCCTTGTTATTGGATCAATCCAACCCCTACGATCCTTTCCAAATCTATGGACAATAAGATTGAGACATAAAGAGAGAAAGCGCTGGGGATTGATGGGTACAACCCAACCCCATCATAATTGAGATAACAACTAAAGATTTAAAGATAAAAATAAGATTAAAAACGGATTAGAAGATATTTAAAATTAAGTAAAGTGATTCTTAACGATAATCATTAGTGAAAAGTCCCAAGTTTATCCTTTGCATACATCATTAGGGCATTTGCGAAGAACAAAGACACCCACTTCCACTCAATAATTCTCATTCCTTTGTCATTTAATTATACACACTCTTCTCAAGCTTACGAAAAGCACTCGCCTCCTCTACGAAAAGAGGAAACGGAGCAGAAAAAACAAAGCTTCCTTGGAATTAACAAAAATTCATCCCTTTTTGACCTTTATATACAATACAATAGCAAATACCCTTTCAAAAATTAAGGCCTAGAGAAAAAAGCTTCGAAATTCAGCCTCCGGTTGTTATCCAAGGATGCCCTGTAAAATTTAAAACAAATTTAAATTTAAATTCTTAAAATTAATGGGTATTTTTCTTCTTTTCCGAGAAAGAAGAAAGAGAGAGAAACTAATAATAGGAACATGTGGAAAAATTGAGCTTACTTAGAACTTGTTCAGCAGACAATCTTCTAGAAACATCTTTGCAGAGCATTTTTCTCAGAAGATCCTTAGCCGCCGGCGAAACCGATTGGAAGACCGTGACAGGGAACCTCAGATTCCCTCTCAAAACCGCCTCAAATATCTCCACAACCGTTTCCCCATAAAACGGTGGAAACCCCGCCAACATTATGTACAGAATGACACCGCAACTCCACACATCAACTTTCTCCCCGTATTCCCTCCCGTTCAAAACCTCCGGCGCCACGTAATACGGGGTCCCCACCACCCCTTGCATAGCCTCCACCCCCCCTTCAGCCGAACCGAAGTCCGTTAGTTTAACTGAATTTTTGGAATCGAACAGAATATTCTCCGGCTTGATATCACGGTGGACGACGCCTAGCTTGTGAATGTGGGCAAGGGCTTGGATGAGCTGGGTCATGATGGGTCGAGCTTGGGCTTCCGAGAAGGAACCATTATGGATGATGAGATTGTAAAGGTCTTGAGAAGGAGGGCAGAGATCGAGGACCATGTGGAGATGAGAATCATCTTCGTAGACGTTGTGGAGGTGAATTATGTTCGGGTGCGGTGAAACTAGAGCAAGGATTTTCGGCTCGTTGAAGAGACATTGGGAGTCAAGAGAATCGCCGGTGGAGATTATACGTTTGTCGATGGATTTAACGGCGAACGATTCGCCTGAGCTCAATGAAACGCACCTGAAAACGACGCCGAATCTTCCCCGGCCGATCTCTTCACAAACCTCGTAGCTTCCCTTCAATGCTTCAGTCATTGTTTCCCCGTTTTTTTCGGTTGGTCTTTATTTTCTGCTTTAATATTAGCAGGGGGTATAAGTAGAGGGCTCAAGGAATGTTTTGCGAATATTCGGGGTAGCGAATAGGAACAGGACACGTGCTGGGATCGAAGGGTGGGAGATACTGTGACCGTTTGTAGACGCTGGATCCGAAAGCTAAGGTCGGTTGTCAGATGGAATTACGGGAATGCCCCTATGTTAGTCGACGTGAAGTTTCCGTACAGGTAGAAGTCCTTTGGCTTTGGGTTCGGTTTGGCAGTTTAGTTCAAGTCGTAGTTGGATAGTTTTGAATTAGGAAATTTGGGGACAGCATCCCTCGAAGTGGGGCTGTTCTTAAGTTTGCCCAAATATTTTCACCTTAATTACCATGTGTGCCATTGTTGTCGAATGCAAAAACATTTTAATTAATAAGGATTTATTATTATATTAAATGTTAATATTTGATTTGATATCATGTTCGAGATATTTTAGATTTTCAAAATGATTTAATTATTTATTTAATTTAATTTAAAATTCCTTTATAGTTTATATTCTTTATTTTTCTTATAATTACCCATTCCTTATTTAATTTAGTTTAATTAATATTTTTTAAAAGGTATATTAATAGCATTGCATGCTGAAAAAAGAAAATATCCAATAAGATTAAAGAATTCATTACATTTGATGTGACAAATATGTGAAGGGCATAAGATCATCAGTAATTAATGAAACTTTACTTATATGTGGTTATGACTAGAATAATGAGAACAATGTCATCATGGTATTTCTACTTCTCTCTTTTTCTTGTTAGGATTCTTTTGGGGAGGATTAAATTAGTTATTTGGTTTATGTTGAGAGTTTAAAAATCTTCTGTCTCACTAAAAAAGGAATTTAGAATCTTCATAAATAAGTTTAACTTCAAATTTTTATTGCGTTTCTTATCCAATTGAATATATTGATTTTATAAGTTAATATATATTTTATTTATAATTAAACAGATACATGGTAGAATACAAATTTTGTGAATCTATATACGAATGGATTGATTGATCCCTTTGTTATAAGTGTATTATGACTAATTAATTAGGACAATACATCTATTGCATTAGAAAAATTGAGGACTACCTATTAATTAAATTAAAGCAAAAAAAAATATTTTTTTGTTGTTGTGTTGATAATCTTATAAAGATGTATAACATGATGATAATTTATCATAGCAAGGCTTGCATTGGAATATCTAGGGACTTGAGATGATCAGAAGGTATGACTCAAAATTTTGTTTGTTTTCTTTTTTGGAAATTGCATGGTATTTTCGTCACAAATGGGAGCTAGGGCTACCATTCAAGTCATCAAAAGTCAGGTGCATGCTAACATGCAAAGATTTGTCTCACAGACACGAGCTTACTGTTGGAAAATGGCTTGACAAGTGATGAGTTCCACAATAATTTCAAGCAAGAAAAATGTATATTCCACCTCCATTTACCAAAAGAAAAGAAAGAAAAAGCATAGAATCGACCAAGTATTGCTGTATGATTCAGATTCTTTAGTGCATCTAGCCAGCACTTCCATGCCTCTAAAGCAAAGTTTCCTTTCATCTTTATATAGACACCCCCCCACCCACAAAAAAAGGACCATGAAAACATCAAAATTCTAGTTAAAGAAATTGGCACTAGGGAATGACAATGATGTTTTGCCAATTGCCATATAGGAGAGACAACATCAATGTCAAAACCAACTTCAGACCATTTGAACCTTTTTTGTTGGAGCTGATCACAGGCAAACGAGAGCAAGTGGGGGACCTTTAACCAAAGAACTCTGTGATGAAGTCGTGAGGGAAGGGATATGAGGCTTTGCCTTTCAATGACTTCTCGAGTAAGCAAAGGGTTATTGCGTCGCAAATTCTTGGGCTTCATTGACTAGCTAGATATATATATATATCCTACGGAGTCCGGACAATGTAAGGTACAAAACAAGGACGATCACAGAAATATGAAATGGGTAACCGTGGGTTAAAGAGTTGGTGTAATGCTTTCGCGCTTGGACCATTCACCAAATTTTGTTGAAAGAAAGGAAGAATGTAATTGATTACTTGGTAGAAAAATGTCGAAATTATCCTATTCCTCTTTTTCTAATCAATTAACATAGATTACTTTTTCTTTTCATAAAGAAAAAGGAAGAATGGCAGAATTACAAGGCGGTTTAGGGCTTAAGCAACAAACAAATCATAAGAAGGCATATAATTTCTTCATACTTTGTTTTGCAGCTCCTCCAAGGTGGGGATTTCAGTGTTCTAATACAAGCTAGCTAGCTTCTGCATCTTGTTTTCGTAACCAAGAGTCAGCTTCCTTTGAAACTGTGGAATCTTTTACACGCAAACTTGTTTCTCGTTCAAGTTAACAAGTCAACATACGAGACCTAATTTCACGACCATAAACCAATCTTTGTTAGTTTATGACTTAGCTTCATTGTAAAAGTGAAGATAAATTAATAAATTCTTTGGGACTTCACTATCACTTGGCGCATCGTGTCCTTAATTGAATAATTATTTCGAAAATATCAACGTAGAGACCGGGGACCCTTGTCCATGTGGATTGACAGACCTAGGAAGCACAGCACAAAGCAACATATCCCACTAGTAATAAACTATTTTTATGGCCTGGTTGATTATTGTCATTCTTGTCTCCTACTTCATTCTTGCTTTCCTTTGAGGACAACAATGTGGTGAGTCATACTCCAATTTCCATGCGAAATAATGTTTTGATGGGGCCACTTTGTTTTTTTTCCATGTTTTATCATTGTAATTTACTGGCAAAGGATTGGCAGTGCTTTCATGTCCACCAAAAACCAAAGATCTCTACAGATCAAATGACCACCCATTTTTACTTTCTTGTGTACTTGCACCAATGTTAATTGACTGCAATTCCTCAAGTTAAAATGGTTACATATGATTCCTTTTGGATATATAGTTGCTCACGTAGGCGCCATGCCGCTTCTAACAGTATAAAAAGGACAAAGAACTAGGATTAATAAACAAACAAACAAGCAAACTTAATCCCTCCATGCAATTAGTGTAATGGTGAGTCATCGAATCATTCATCGTATTTCCACGAATTTCATTTCATTTCCTAATCCACACTCTGATTGACTTTGTCTTGATCTAGCAGCCCTTAATCAAAATCCAATTAATTAATTTAAACAAAGTAATCTTAATCAGCCATTGATAATGTCCTTGGACGGCCTTTGTCGTAACAAAATTCTAAATCCCAACAAGATACCATACGTTAGTATCAACACAGTATTTCCAGCTGTCGATTAATGTGTTGATATTTTACTGGAATGAATTTGTTTAAGCAAGCTGATGATGATGAAGTTTTTGTAGTTTTATGACTGATTGATAAGGTTGGGTTCAAGTTTCAACATAATTTATCATAAATAAAATTTTTGTGGAAAAAAACGTTTTCCCTACGATACTTGTTAAAAGCAATCAAACTTAGAATTATTATCCACAATATTATTATAATTAGTATTTGCACAAGCTAATTGATAAAATAGTCAACTTACTCAAACAAAAGGATTCCATTTTGCTAATCTACCTAACTTGCTGTTTGGAAATTAGCAATAAAGACATTTCAGAATATGCTACAACTCGATTATGCACTGACTGCAAAGTAAGGACGGATCTATAAATTTTTTTGAGTGATGTCATATTTAGAAATTTTTTTCTCAATCTAAGATTTACTGGGAGAGTACTTAAGTCAAATTCAACATGACTTTGCTTAGAAGAATATTGTGTTGAATATCATCGATAGTAGAATTTTGTTGTTATTATCCAGGATTTGAGTCTTGTGAAACAATTTCTTTTCTTTTAAATTATCTTTTCATTGCTTATTTATGTAAAATTATAAAATTGGTTAATAATTAATATTCATTAGTATAAATTAAAATATTATAATTAAACAAAATATGATTTTACATAAAAAATTATTAGGTTTTGTGACTAACAATATGACAATTTTCAATTCATTGATCAAAACTAAATATAAGCATCCACAAACCACATAAAGTTAAATGCAAAAATCAAATAATATATCTACAAAATAAATAAATAAAAAGACTCACAATTTCAAGATATTATTTGACATGTAATGCTATATTTTCTATTAATTAGATTATAATTATGAATCCCAATTATCAAACTAATCAAAAAAAATTTAGACATGAAGTATTAAAAACTTAATTTGGATTGAAAATTACTTACAATTGAAGCATAAATGAATTGCTATGAGAGAATGAAAAACACATTAAAGGACCAAAAAAGGGGAAGGATTTGAATTTTTAGATAAAGAGAGTAGTTTAGGTTTTAAACTTTTTAATAAAATCTTAAATTATAAATTTTTTTTGTCTTTTCTTATAGTATTTAAATATTAATACATAAATTACTTTATGATAAATCACTTTTACTTGGAGTCTTTAACCACACTTCTTGTAAAATTGTAAAAAAAAAAGATAGATTATTAATATATGAACTCCCCTGAATATTAAATAAATCGTATAAAAATTAAAATATGACAGAAGTGAGTGATGTCATGTGACACGACTCCTTCCAACATGGATCCACCCATGTTGCAAGTTTAGTTACGGGTTTACTATACTTTCCAACATTTGATGATTTCTTTTTTCTTTTCACATATGTTCTAAAAAATTCTTTTATTTAACTAAAACGGAAATGTAAATTCTATCACACTCAATGTCTGCTGTTGTTTGTTTTTGTCAATATGATATATGACTAGGCAAGTCAATATGATATATGACTAGGCAAGTCGATATGATCACATGATATATTCAAAATTCAAAATAATCTATTATTGGTTACCGTTGGCATCATAAAAAGAAAAATTATTTGTCGATTCCTCTCTTTCTCTGCTTTTCTTTAATTGGAGTATTTTTTCTAAAAACCCCTTTCTTTTTCTCCAAAGTTGAAAAAATAAAACATTTAAAAATTATAAAATTTTAATTTTTTTGAAATTTAAAGAAAGAAAAGTTTTTCAAAAAAACTATTTCAATTAAAGAAAAGAGGAGAAGGAGAGAACTGGAAAATAGTTTCTTTTTAATGATTCCGATGACTGATAATTTTGAATTTTAATTTTGTCACGTGACCATCATATGAAATCAGGTCATAAATCCCGTGAATAAAAAACACTAGTTGACGTTGAGGTTTGTCAACAATAAATTTTTCATTAAGATTAAGAGTTTATTTTATTTAAATTAAAATTTTCAAAACTGATATGAACTTAATATAAAATTGAAAAACTTAATTGAATAGATGGGTATAGTACATAAATGTTTTTAAAAAATTTAGACCTTCCTTTTTAATACATGAGGAAGGACAGCAGTTAATAAGCCGAGCAAATTTTTTATACGGAGTTTGTTCGAACTTAATTTATAATGTTTATTATATGAATTACCGTTAGGGGTAAAAAATATTCAACTATTATTTTAGTTAAACAGGTTATTTTCAGAATTTAATGTTTATTTTCTTACTCAAAATTCGAATAATATGAAATTTCGTAAAATGTTTTCCCACACACAAGGGGCCCAGCAGAAATTGCAGACCTTTCTAGACCCGCTAGCCGTGAACATCCGCCCACAGTTGCCCCAAATGAGGCCCAATATGTGGCCCACCAAGCCCACTTCCGTTGTGTAAAAGATATACAGTGAGCAACTCCCCCAAGCTGGGAAACTGTTCAATTTTCTTTCCCCTGCTAACAAATATGGTCTTATGATCAGCATAGAGACAGTTCTTTTGAATGAAGTGCAGTCGGTAGAACCTGATGCAATACGACCCAAACTCCAGAAAACAGATGGGTGAGGGCATAATTTCTAACTCTCAACCTGCACCAGAATGCATTTGCACATGCAGCATTTTTTGGCCTGTCTCTTTCATTCCAAGTAACTATGTATGCAACCATTCCTCATAAACACGGATTGACTGATCCCAGAGGCAAAAAAAATACTAGATTTCATAAGCCACAACAACAAAACTAATGTCCATCAAGTGTAAAACAGCTTACTAGACTTACTGAATGTCCTGGATTACATTCATCAAAGGTATAAGAGGGTAGATAACAGATAAGACAGCTTTGTTTATTTGCTACAAGACATAACCTTAATTACATACGTATAAACTTGTTTACAAGAACGTGTACAAACATGACCAACCAAAACCCTTGGGTGGGATCGTTGTATACTAGGAGCAATAGCTAAAAGGGAAGGATATGTAGACAGCCAATTAGAGCACGTGATGGGAAACATTGAGTTAGACGGGCCTAAATGAAACAGAGACCCCTTTGATTTTCTTGATCAGTAGGACAGTTCCTGGGAATAGGAGAGAGATACCTGCACTAATATCTCATAGCTCCTGCAAAGTTCATAGTATGAAATTTCAACAGATGTTTTAGAAGTTAAAATGATTGGCGTTCCTATGTTTTTCTCTCTTTTTTTCCCCCATGAAAAGGCCATTCTTAGATAATTTCATTTGAAGTCAAGCTCAAACTTCATAAAAATCGATATGAGGGTTTAAATTCTTAGCACAATAATGCAGATTCTTTAATCATTAAAACGGTTTGAAACAGAAGTAATTGGCTTGGAAAATCTGGATCAGTTATACGAACAGCTTTGTTAGTACAGATTCGATAACATGATTTCTATTCTCTTAGTTTCTCCCCTTCTATATTCAACATCTTTCCAACTTTACATAGCAAAGCAACAAAGACACTGCAGTCTTAGAGTAAGTTTGTAAATGGATATGATTTGTTGCACCCTCATATTTTCTGCTATTAGCTCCATTCCTTTGTTTTATTTGTTTTCAGAAAGTATAAACCAAAATGGTCGTGATGAGAACATAACACAGACAGCAAAATATGAGTTTAGCATACTAGTTTACTTTTCCACTAAAAATACAGCAGCAATGCTCATAACCAAGCAAGCTGTGGTTTGTTTGAAATGTTGAATGACTGAAGGAAGTGTTCTGAATAGCCATGAACAAATATGATGTGCTTACCAACTTAGCTGTTTTCTTTTCTTGAAGAGTAGTTTACTGCAGGAAATTACAGAATATTGTTTAAGGTCGTCATCTCAAAATTTCGAGTGGTCATTTACATGAAAGCACACTAATTCACTTACATCTATCATGATCGTAATTCATGACACTTTGCCTCTTAGAAAAAGGCTTAAGTTTGTAGCTTGGATTAATCTCATGTATTAGACAGATAATCAAAAGAACTAGAAACGGATGCAAGACTTTTCAGCTTCTTAAGTAGCCAAACTATAAATTAACTGCAGTTACTTACCATTTTTGCTTGAAGTCTGCTCCAAGTCAATCTTTTCTTGCCATGATCGCTTCAGATCAGAAGATTCATACTCCTGCAAAGGTCTGCCATCCGATGAAGAACAAGATTGGGGAACAGAGAATGAGATTCTGCTAGTACTCTGCCTCTTAGATGCTGAAGATTCAGCTGTCGAGCATAAGTCTTCTTCTCCTCGTGAGGTCCCTGCTTCTTTTTTCTGATTTTTCAATTTATCTGCATGCAACCTTTCTTCTTCCACATATTTTGCTCTCTTCCTATGCGATGAACCATTGTTGCAATTTTGAAATGACGGCACCCTCTGGTCATTAGATGAATATGTTGGACAAGAAGATTTTTCCTTCAGGATAACTTTTGGGATGGCGGAAGTTTCAATACCATCAGAATTATCAAAAACTTCTTCACTCATCCCATCTGAAGTTGCAGCCTTTGCAGCTGCTTCCATTTCCCACATTTTAAAGATGGCTTCTGTCAGATGTTCCCTAGCTGTATCTATATCTATTATAGGTTTTGGATAGTTTAAGCCCAACTCAACACCTGCAGCTTTAAGCACAGTAGGAGGTGCATCCCAAGGATGATGTATCCACTCAGTTGGCATCCTAGCTAGCTCTGGCAGCCATTGCCTTACATATTCACCTTCTGGATCAAATTTGGAGCCTTGAATCTAATTCCAAAAATCAACATAAAATGAGGCCAAAAGATATGAAACATAACTTATAGATTCAATTAACAAGATCTATCTCTACTTTTAGTAATGCTTATTAACACGTAATTTTCCTCAATTGGAAAATTTGCTGACTGTTGACTAAAATCATTTGCTTTTGCAGATTGGGAATCATGCTAAGGAAAGGATCATATTTCAAAAGTTTGTATAACATATTGTGACAACTTCAATGGCATATCTATAACTGATTATTTTATTCATTGTAAGGATGAGTTTCCACTTTTAAACCATCTGTGTGGGCAGAAAGATATGTTTGACTTGCAAACTGCAACAGCAGTCCAAAATAAGCAGAAGGCCATAACCTATATTTCCAAACACTGAAACTTGATGAAGATACTAACTAGCACACACAACATAATCAGATGCAAATAAGTGTAAAGTCACAAGTTACAGTAAATATAAAATGCATGGCCTCAAAATTGAAGGAACCGTAGATATTTGTTGTACTCTGCATTCAATTGCTACTTATATTCAAAGTTAATAAATTAATTAGGGAACTCACACACCTGTGGGCTGTCTAATCGTTCTAGCTCATGACCATCTGGTAAGCTCCCAGATATGTACTGCCAACCAAGAATATCGCATTCCAAATCTGCATCCAAAAGTGTGTCCCAGAAATACTTCATTCCCCATTTCCATGGAAGAAGAAGAAACTTCACTGCAAAACTTGAAACAATCACTCTTATTCTGTTGTGTATCCAACCAGTTGCCCAAAGCTCTCTCATTCCTGCATCTACCAATGGATAACCAGTCCGACCTTGTCTCCAAGCCTTAAAATGGTTCACATCAGCATGCCAAGGAAAATACTTCAAGTTGCTCAACAATGATCGCTCATGAGTGAATGGAAAATTGAAACAAAGATAACGGGAGTATTCTCTAAACCCAATGGCCTTTAGAAAAAATGTTACACTTTCTTCCCCTTGAGAGTTCTGTTCTCTTCTCCATAGTATCTGCTTCATCCGTGCACACTGGAAAACTTTCCTTATACTTAGCTCTCCAAAATGAAGATACGGGGACAAAAGTGATGTCGAGTTGCCCCCAACCTTTAGCCTATTATTTGAATAGTTGAATAGATTCTGTTCAACAAACTCAGTTAGAGCCTTATCGGCATTGCTCCAACCTGGAGACCATCCTCTTCCTAACAATGCATTGCTAGATTTTTCTGATTCATTTTCAAGGCCCAAATCTTCAAGAGAAAACCTTTCTACTGTTCCTGTCACTAATAAGGAAAGAATTCAGCAAATAGTTACTCATTTTGCATGTATACATTATACACAGGTCCTTCATACATATTTCATCTTCCTTTTCGTCACAGTCGTTCATACATAAATACATATTAACTTACATTGTGCATGTTTTCCATGAACAACTTCATATGCATCTAAGGAAAACAGTTTATCAGCAGCTCAAGGTCATATATCTGCTCCGAAGAATGAACAAAGTCATGACCTCTGTAGGGGGTAACAAGCAAAGAAATGCAATGCATATACATATCTGTAAAACATAATTTCTCCAAGCAAGACAAATTCTTAGCTGCAGACCAGGATGATGTGGTTGCCATTCGAATTATCATATAAAAAGAAGATCTGTCAGCTTCATTTCAATACTATTGTTTTCACCAAGTTAGTTTCCAAACTGAAAGGTAATTGTACAAACAAGAATGAACCACACTGAATTACATGATATTCTGTTTAAATTTACCTGCAGCTGGCACCAATCTCCATGGGGGAAGAAGTGGAATGGGTTCCATTTGCATGTTCAAGCACTTGTCCCAATATGCATCAAAGGTCGTAAAAGCTTGCCCCCTCTCATCATATATCTCCCATGGTTCATATAACAAATCGCCATTATAGCTTTGCACAGAAATGCCAATCTCTGCCAGTTTCTCTTTGATGCCATGATCGCGAACCAGTGAAACAGGATCTGGAAAAGGACAGTACACATGAAACCATATTACAAGACCTCTCAAAGAAAATGAATGGAACAAGAACAAAATCCGGCAGCCAAACCTCTCATCCATAGAGGAATTATGCACTAAACTAGCTTCTGGGGGTAAATAAAGAGTTGGTTCCCACTAAAACAAGAAATTACTTGTGTTTACACATGCAGAAATCAACCAAAGCAGGGAAATGTCAAGGCATCACACCAGGACAAAGAAGAAATTAGATCTGGCAACTCCAGAAAGGATCCTCTCCTAGGGAAAAGATGGAAGAGAGGAAAACACGCACTCTGCCATGAGAAATCCATTACCATTCTGAGAACACAAATAATCCATGTTTAAAATTTTCCTTCAACTTCAACGAGCAGTCGTTTTGCCATGACAATTGAGCCCCAAAAGGAAAAGTAGTCATTCTTTTTTGCTTCCTTTGGATGCATGCTCGTGTATTTCACATTTTAACTCAAAATATTACATTGCATTTGGCAATAGTTTAATTCTTAGACTCTATTTTGCAGATATATAAGCATAACCATGATCTCAAGGTAATTTTATGATGACAACTATGCTTCTTGTTATTACTTCCATCCAATTTCATTCTTCAATGTCTCTGAACTTTTAAGCAACCTTTTTTCTCAATTAATTTTTAAACATTTGAATAACTCACGATTTAAACTAAATTTGTAACTAATTTCTATGATCTATCAAATTTTCCTTTTATCTCCAATGTCTCTGCTTAATATTTTCTCCAATTTCAGGGGAAAAAAAGGATGGGAATGGAGACTGGAAGTTATCTTCTATGAAGACTATCATCAAGCTTCAGCAAGCAAGTTAATGATGATGACAAGATTGGAAGTCTATAGGCGAAGCATAAATTATCCAACAGAAGCTTAGAGTTTGATTGAAGCAACTATAATCTTGTTAGAAGCAGTAAGCATGTCTAATAGAGGCCATTGCAGTTACAATTAATAGGATTCCAGGGATACCAATAAAGATATCACATCAGAATTCAAAGTTAAACATGCTTCACTAGATATAGCAAATTAAAATTTGTATCAGTTTAAAAAAGCAGCATTGATCAGAGGAATCAGAATATACCATAAAGATGGTTAAATACTACTTTTGTTGCCCCAGTAGCATTGATGCAATCCAAAAGAGCCGAAAGAGTACTTTGGGTCTTAATCAGCACAAGTTCAGCCCCAAGAGACCTCAAGGACTGCTCCAAATGAGCAAGAGATTGCTTCAGCCACCATCGTGAAACTCGACCTGGGTAGAACTGCCCTTCCTCTTTAGGGCACCATATAAAGACAGGAAAGACACTACCATTCCTTGCAGCAGCAGCTAAAGCAGGATTGTCATCAATCCTGAGATCCCTCCGAAACCAGAGTATCGTTTTACTGCTACTCATGTTGAACTAACAAGATCTTTCAGATAAGACTAAAATGTTTGAATTCAAAAGGATATGAATAATCTCTATGTCTTTCCTTCAATCCAATACATGAACATCAAAAAAGGTGTAATTTGCACAAACTCCTCCAAGTTGGTTTTATGCTAAAAAGAAACCCAAACTTGAAACAAACTCAGATTTGCTGAGCACTTATATCTCAATAGCAACTCTTGAACCCTAAACTGAGAAATACTAGGTTTTGGCTATCAAAGTCAAAATTACCTGTTGCTGCTATAGCCACAACAAACAAACTACACGGCTGTTTGCAACTTCTATCCTGCTCTTATGTATCCAGGATATCCAACCGAATCTTGCTTCAATTAGGCCTTCCCCACATGTCTCACCAATCCACAACTCCACCAATCAAACACCAGAACCTCTACAAAATATCTTCTACTCCAAGAAGTTGATGCAGACCGCCACCAGAACTAGTAGAATAGACAAGCGAAAACTCCACAGAAGGAGCAATAGCCTTGTTGACAACAACCTCTTCAAATCTAAGAGCACCGTTCTTGATCTTTCCTACAATCTATACACAGTGGAAGATCAGATTTTGCATGAGTAAAGAAAACAGATCCTAGACACCAGAAAGAGAAATCAGTGATTCCTTAATAATTCATATTAAAGAATGTTATCCACAAACAAGGACAACTAAATCTCAAAATAAATAAATAAAAGATTAACCGGACCTAGGTTTTATACAAAGTTAATTGCTGAACTACTTTACTCCATGTAGCTAGTTGCTAAAAACTCAGCAAAAACAGACAAAAAAATATAAAGGGTTTGGTAACAATTATTATTGATGATATTTCTTCATTACTTACAGTACATTGTACAGTGACATTCCTTTGAACAAATGGCACTGGCAATGTCGTTATGCGAAGAGAGTGGCTTGTGGATCCTTATTTGTTTCAAGATCACGTGGGCTCGTATAATATTGATAGTGGTGGGAGACATATCTTGTCTGCTTTGTGGATCCACTGTAGCTTCTCAAGATAAGGTCTTTCTCTCTGTCTCATTCAATTAACACACACCCAGACACCCTCTCTCTCTCTTTCAAGGCTGTTGAGTAACTCTTCGGCCAATAACAGTTTCGTCTTCTCAACACCAGCAAAGGCGCTTTATTATAACTGTTAACTGAAGCATATGCATTGAACATGTTGGGAGTAACTTGCGGCTTCCCAAGTTTGTAACTGGAATTCTGGTGATTTCATTTATTCTATTTAGAAAGATTTTTGCCTTTTTGTAAGCCTTGTAATTTGCTTCGGTCTTGCTCTAGGAAAAACAGCTTTTGGTTGAACAGGACCACAAAGTGTGGACCTCGATTGGGACATGGGGAAGGGCGACAACGACAGAAGGGCTTAAAGACCCAGCACGTTGAACAAATGAATTCGTAGAAGTTTTTAAGTTATTAAGCATTTGGTCCCATTTTCCTATCTTCTCGAAGACATTGATGAAATTAGACTTTTAACCATTATCTGGCATGATCATATGCAGTTGAAACCTAAAATCTCCACCTAAAAACCATCGCTCCCGTCACCATGAGTCCATGACATAAAGTAAAATTTGCTTATTTTGCATAACTAATTGCCTACAACAGTTGCATTTACTGTCTACATGTGATATGAATGTTATCCCCATTGTAGCACTGCTGAGAAGTCAAAAGTGACCAAATTCATCCTAGCATGCTAGCTCCTTTATCACGAGGCTTGCAGAAGATTTGATTTTCCACCGTGACCAAGCGACTTTCGCCCATCCTTGTGGACTTTCAAGGCATTACCAGAACGGGAGCCAATAAAGAAACAACCTCCCCCTTGTTTGGTAGACTAGTTCTTTTCAACTATCAGAACTCCAAGATAAAACAAAAGCATTAGCAAACAAATGCCAAAGGTGGGTTCAATCAAAACCAAAAAAACCTGGGCCCGCGTTGCTGATTGATTTGATTCAGTGATCGTGACTATAGAAATTATTTGTACGTTGACAGCCCTATACGACTACAAAAATTATCAGAAAAGGTTACGATGAAAAGGAGGACAAGTGATTGAAAAACCATTTCATTAATAAGAGTCAAGTATCCATAATCACACCCATTTTCACCTGAGAAGCATCATGGCAATGAGGAGCCCAAAGTCCCAACATACCTCAGATGTTTGAGGCCCGAGCCCCTAATCAGCCTTCCCAAGGTGTTATTTAACATTCACGAATTCACGACATATGTACTGAGAGAGACAGATAACCGCACTTAATTCAGCAACTAATTGAAGCAGGAAACAATCCTAAAAGCAACTCCGGGGAGTTTCCTAAGCATGTGAAACCCATGAATGGAGTGAATGCTTAACGTGCACGCTCCCTGATCACCTCAAGATCCATCTCAGTGGGGTCAGTTGCCTGGATTTCATAATGAATGCCCTCCAGTTCCCTCCTGAACCTGTCCTTGGATGTTGCATAAAGCATCTTGGAACGGATCCTTGAAACAGAAGGAGACCTGCAGAGGAACATAAAGTCAGACATGTATACCAAAAAACGGAGATGACAAATAGAAAAATGGGCACCAGTTAATTCACTCGTGTTTTGTCTAACAATTCCACACAAAATTTAACTGTCAACAGCAAGAAATGAAAACCAATTTCATAATTTTCCCATCCCTGCTTTGCACACTCAACCAATTTTAAGTTTATGAACCTTGATGAGGAAGCAAAGCACATATCCTTGACTCAATATTGCATTACATAAGCAAGGAATGCGCTGCACAGGTCCACGGATGAAGCACCTTGTAATCACTCATAACATTCTTTGCTTACCCGAGCATAGAAGCCACCACAAAACCAACTCAACTCCAAAGTTGAATTTTATTTAAATATATTACAGCTTTTATTAATATAAACTCCCTCTTTCTCAATGCCAGAAGGAATGGAAAAAATAATTAAGCTGGCAGATTAGCTTGCCTTCTAGAAAACAAAGGCAAAATTGCAAGAATCCAGTAGATGGTAAAAAACAAAAGAAAAATCCAAGGCATCCAAGTTTTCTAAACGTAAAAAGAAACAGGAAAATCAAATCCAAAGATAATAATCAAATTTTGTGAACAGCAACTGCATAGAAGGAAATCTGACTTGGGGTGAACAAGAAACTAACATCCAAAGTAAAACCGATGATTTGATTTTTGATGGAACCTGAGGACAAAATGTAATCTCATAAGAAGAAGTATTTTTAAATTCTCAAACACAAAAGCAGCATTGCAAGCATGACATCCATGAATTCAACCACCACCAATATTTGTTCCCCTCTCCATATCTTTGCATTGAGAACAGCGAGTGCAAGTCAAAGGTTTGTACATTCTCCATGCATCATCATCATTTGTATTTCTAGCAAACCTAACACAATCTACATTAACCCGAGTGAGGAACATAGTTCTAAGAAAGTCCCAACAGAATTCAAAACCTTAGGCTCCCAGTATTAACAAAACATAAATGATCAAATTTCAACCAAAAGATCATTGGCAAACAACAAAGCAATGGAGCTATACCTATATGGAAAGGTATCAAACAATTGTATCAACCATAAACACCTCCATTTTCAATCAAATTGCACTACACAATGGGCAAGCACTATGGTGTTGAAGTTTCAGAAGCCAAGCAGAAAGAGAGAGAAAGAGGAGGAAAGAATGAATGAGGTTTTTGTAAACTTATAATTTAGATCAGATTCAGTAAGTTACAATGCAAATGTGGCACAAAATTTTGACAGAATTGAATTATTTTGCAATTGAAAAAGATACTGACCATGCAATGAAAAAAATCTTGCTCTTCTGGCAGTTCTCAGAAGTCACAAAATCAAAGTCATAAACTGCATATCGGCAATCATTCTCAGGCATTGAGGCGGTGAAATCATCATAGCTCTCAGCTGGACCACCAGTCTTTTCCACTACAACCTCATTTTTCTTCTCATCAATCTTAAAGATCACATATCGGAACACCTTCTTCCTCTGCAGCTCCATGTACATGCTTTTGCTGTGTTCAGCCACTCCCATGCCAGATGATGCATTTGCCTAAAAACCGGAAACAAATGTTTGATGTTTAATGCTTACTCCAACAAAAATTGACTAGTGTTAACTTTTTATTTTAAAAACCACTACATTTTTGGCAAAGCAGAACAAACTGCCATCAATGAACCCTAAATAACAGGTACACGATGCAAAAGTACCTGATACAACATGGAAACTTTCACAAAATTTAACAATGTTATAATACAATATTTTCCAACACAATCATTAATTCTTAACTCCATGACTATCCACAGGTGCCATAAGAAAATTGAGGCTAAACAAACCAATCCAACATAATTTAAAAGCCTAATCCAGTAGCAAAAAAACCAATCCAACATAATTCAAAAGCCTAATCCTGGTTCCAGTTCCAGGGCCCATTTATTTACAGGAAGATGCAGTTCTAGCATTACAATTGGAGACCAAGATGCACTAAAAAAGGACCAAAAAGACAAACTTTTACTTCAACTTAGCTTGGATAGACCTAGAAAGACACCATTATGAGTACAAAATCAAAATCCTATTTTCCTTCAAGCTGTGTTCTTGAGATTAACTTCACTTCAACTAAGCTCAATTGGATTGCTGCAAAGTACCAACCTTCACTTAACACTCACATCACATTTTAATTAATGAAATGGTAACAGAAATCTAATCTTATAATCCATTTTTTCAAGAACCCAAAAAGGAAAAAAAATTGAAACAACTACAATTAAAAAGCTAAGATCTAGCTAACCACGAAAGATTCAGTCTTACACACACAGACACAAGAAAATAAATAAATTACAACAAAATTAGAAGCTACCCATATAATAAAATCCTTAACTTTGTCTAAGTGTCAACATGGGAAAAAAGAAGAAGATCTTTTTAAGCTAAACCAAAGAGAATAAAAAGAACCCAAACTAAATTAGATCTAAGAGAATCCAAAGGAAACAAAAAACAGAGACTTACTCTTCTAAAAGCCATGGCTGCTTCAAATCAAGAAATAAAATGGGTAGTTTTGGAGAGAAAGGGGCAAAGAGAGAGTTCTTAAGGAGAGAAAATAAGGAGAAAAAGCAGCCACCAGAAAGAAGAAAACCTTTGAAACTATTTTGAATACTTAACAAAAGGAATTTTATTTTTCTTTCTGAGAAAAATAAAATGGAAAAAAAAAAAGGGAAAATGAAAAAGATCCGTGTCTTAAGAGGAAAGCGTAGAGGCGCGTCGTGTTCGATTCTTTTCAATGACGGCCATCATCATCCTCTGTTGCTGACATGGCTATTTTTTATTGGTCCATTTTCGATTGCAGTTAAAAAAGTTTATTTTTTATAATTTTTTTAATGATTATTTTTTTTTTAAGAACATCAATTTTTTTTGGTGTAAAATGTGACCTGATAAATAGATTTTATTATTGTTGAATTTATAATATTTTTATTTGAAATTCTTAAGTGTGATCTTTTCGTCAGGTCGAATGTTACATAAACAAAAAAGAAAATTGATGCTTAATTTTAATACCACAATTAAAATTTAATCACCAAGACCAAGACCATTTCACCCAAAAGGAGATCACTAAAATTTGTCTTGATAAAGCAAAGCAAAGACCCACAGCCCATGCATCAAGACATGTCCTTGTCCATGTCACCTATATTATTCGATGTTTAAAGTTATAAAGGAAAAACTAACTACAAATCTTTGTCCGTGCCATTGTATTATCTTTATATTACGAGTTGACACTTTCGATTTAAAATATATATTTATTAGATAAAATAAAATTTGTGTTTATAATTTTAAAATTTTTTCTTTCACTTATATAAGTGAGGGATGCATTTTGATTCGAATCTAAATTAAATAATTTTTTATAAACTTTGTCATAAATTTATATTTTTAATTTTAAAAATCAATATTTAATTTTAAAAAATCATGACTTGAATGAAAAATTTATAACGTGAACTGAAATTATACTCAATTATGATTATGAAAATAATGGATTTTTAATTATAGTTTTTAGCATCATAACAAGGAAGGGAAAAAGGTTCTCGATATTGAATTGGAAAAGCCAACAACAACAATTGTCAAAAATAAAAATCCACTTTCCTTTAGCAAAAAGAAAGAGGCTTAAAGAAATGGATCCAAAGTGTCCAGGCCCAAAACCAAAAATGGCTTTAATTGGGCCAAGTGGCCCAATTAAACGGAGTTTAATTCGTTTAGAACAAAGTTTAAAATTTTCTGCCAAAGCCGAACAGAGCCGAGTTGTTCTGTGCCCTAGCGCGCTTTTCACCATAGAACCCGGCGAGTGTTTTTTTATCAAAATTCCAAATAGATTGGATTCAAATCCCGCGAGAACATGGACTCCCGACGCTAATTGTCGAACAGAAAGTTGTATTCTTTTTACGAAAAATGTCGTTAGGGCAGAGAGGTTCGGCGAATCCAGCGGCCATGCTTGCTGCTCTCATGACCAAAAGAGATAAGCTTCAAGACGACCTTCGCAACATCGAAAAGCAGGTACTTTTTTTTTTTTCCCTTTTTTAAACCTCGGTGAAGTTTACCTTTTTTTTTTTTTGTATGTAATGGTAAAGAAGTAACAACCTTGAGGAATCACCGTTAAGTTGGTCAATTTAATTGATATTCTTGTTGTAGGTTTACGAGTTAGAGACTAATTATTTACAAGATTCGAGCCATTGCGGGCATGTTTTGAAAGGATTCGAAGGCTTTCTTTCTTCATCCAAGAACACAGCAAAGTAAGTTTTTTTTTACCCTATTTTGTTTTTTTTTTACTGCTGGTAATTTGATGTCTAATTTTGTTTTAAGTATTGAATTGTTAGTTTGCACTTTTTAAATATCTGGCTGTATGCACGTAACTATCTTTATGAATCAGAACTTTTTAGAAGAAATTTTGGGTTTGATAGCAAATTAGTGACAAATTGTTACTTAAGCTCTGGTTAGTATGTCAGGGGATAGAACGAACAAATCAAGTTATGACACATCATTAAAATTTGCCATGTCAGCATCTGTCACAATGGTTTTTCAGATTAATGAAAACTGTGGATCTGTTTATGTTGATGTAAAAATTTTAGTCAAGTGTCTATATTGTAATTATTTGTGAACGAATAAATGGTGTAGGAGGAAGGGTTTATATAGTATTTCTCTGAATTATTGGATTCTAAGTAGCACACAAGTGGCAATCACACCATACATTTTGTATTTAAGTACCGCTGGTAATTACGTTAAGTATTTCATGTTTGTTTTTTTGTGACAGAAAATTCATGTAAATTTGTTTTGTAGCTTAAAGAGGTATAGGAAGTTTCAGCCAGAAGATAGACTGTTCTCATTGTCATCAGTCACTTCGCCAGCGGTATGTGATAGTATAAGCTTCAGTATATACGCATAACTGAATTTTACCACTTTGTAGCATGTTCTTTTTCTTCCTGTTTATTCTTTCTCACGGATAGGAGTGACACTTGACGTGTATTCAGCTAGATGGTTAGAGTTAATAAACATGGCGAGCATTTAATTAGGCTTAATGTCTCTGTGATCTTGTTTATTGGAATTCAGGTTTCAAATAAGTTTCCCAACAGATTAGATCTCTGAGGAATATTTAGCTACTACTATATGTATTGAGCTTAGAAAGGCTAGCACACTTTAGCTTGACATTTAATATGCTACTTTTTTAAACTGTCATTCTTACATAGAATAAGCTATTTGAGCTAAAGTGAGTTGACAGGCAGTACTTGGTCTGGTTACCTTACTGAATGGCATCTTCTGGGCCATCCCCATATTAATATGTGATGATATCAAGTGGTTGCCTGTAGGGTCATAAGGAGAACTTGTGGCCTATTTATAATAGCAAACATGCTTGCTGAGAGGGTAAGCTGAAATTCTTTATTAGGTTTCCTTCAGTTCTTGACTTGATTAACCTAGAAGCATTAAGGAGTTTTTTCAATAATATACCTTTTTAGGAATGATAGGGTTTACTTTATTTCTGCGTCTATCGAATTTTGGGAATCTATGATCATATTTTGAATGAGAGCATTGAACTGAAGCTGACAGAATTTAATATCAGTACTGGTGATGCTCACCTTCAGGTCTACTTGTTGCATATCTTTTTGAAGAGAATTTAGGTTGCATGTTGTCTTAAAATAAGCCATTATTTACATGAGTTGGTGAGTGGAATTGTCATTGTTTATAATAATACTAATAAGTTGTTATCTTTAGTGTTATTTGACTATTTCTTTAGTCTCACCATGTTTGTGCAATTGTGCTGCACATTCCATTTGTTTTAGCAGAAATCAATAGTGCAAAAAGGTCATGACAAGCCTGTGTCTCAAAAGTACATGTAATTGAGATAGTTATTCAGATTTAACAAGACTGGTTTGTTCACTTTGCTTCTTTATGTTCAGGCTGAAGAACTTGGAGTTCGACAAGATGGTAAACTTTGTTCATTATTTTACTAATGTTTTCCCCCATAAAAGCTATTTTTGACATCCTATGATTTTTCATCCTCTCTGTTGCAGATGGAAGATCTGATTTTGGTCCAGGTCGGTCTAAGGGTGGAGGCTTAGCTGCCAATGGCCAGTGAGTGTGCTAAGAATCGTTATTAGTTTAGTTTTTTAAGCATTTTAATTTTGAAGAAAAACGAGGAAATAAAGCATCAGGGTCCAGATTGAGTTGGCTTTACTCTATCAACTGAAACTTTTACACATCAGTTCATAACATAGATCTATTACTTATTTAATTTATAGAGGGAAACCGAAGAAGGGAAGAACTGCCTCAGCAGCAAGAGATGGCAAGAGAATCAGGCCATCAAGTGAACCAGATTTTGATGATGAAGATGATCCTGATATGAGCTTGAGATAACTTAATAAGAACTTGTCATATAACTTTAGATGCAAGTCTATTCTGTAATAATATAGGGGAATTCTTGATATTTAGTCTAGGTAGTCCAGCATTTAGGTGATGCTGAAAGCATCCTTTAGGATGGCTATATTGCATGTGTTAGAATGTAGCGAATCCAGAGGTGTCATGTATAATGTATGGTATAACTTCCCTCCTTTCTGTATCTATTGATTGTTTCCATTGTATTATGTTCTTTACATTGACATTGCTTAGAGTTATGTAAACTCTGAAAAAAAAATCCAGTTAAGCTTCCAAGTACAACATAGTTCTTTGCAATTTTGTACCCATCATCTGGTCGGGCTTGGAAATATTGGAGTTGAGGAGGCTTGGCTGGTTCAGGCTGTTGTTTAAGCTGATAGCACAATGCTTTACAGCTTCAGTGAAAGCCTAGTTTCTTCCCTGTATTAATTGATAGGTCTTTGGCAGCGGGGATATAAAGCAAAACACAAAACAAATTCGAAACACACTTGTAGGAATTTACCTCGCAAATCAATTCTAGGTTTGGGGACAAAAGTTGGGGTTGGAAATGGGTAGTTTCTAGGCCAGCCCACTATCCACTTCTGGGGTTAATTAAGCTACTGGACTGGCAGGGCCATAATCTTCTGCATTTGTCTAATTTTTCATGGATTCCATAATCTCATATGAATATCTTGGTGTAAAAAGAACATTGATACATCAAAAATAAGTTGGAGGAATGAAGATAATCAATTGCTAACTCATCTTTGTTTTGTTTACAACTCTTTGCACCAAGCCCAACCCCGGGCGATGTAGCTTAAACTTGAAAAGAAAGGGGAAATGTAAAGGTCTACGAAAGGCTGCAACACAATTCCCAGTCCTGGTACCATGCAATGCCTAGAGCGAAGAGAATTCGAAGGAAACAGAAACGTAGTTTGACTGTTTTCCCTATTCTTTAATGGAGTATTTATTGGGAAACATGGTGGAGTAAATACGAAATCGTTTCAGACCCAAGCTAGCAAACGAACCATAGGATCCTCTTTGACCAATTCCAACATAAATCAAAATTTCAGCACGTTTAAATTCTCTTAAAATCAACATGACGAAAGATAGAAAAGCAAGCTTTGAACTTTAGATTGCCAGAACTGTCCGGTGAATCTGCTAAGTTGATGCTGTATACTAGGGAACGTAAATTTCAAGTTCTTTTGTTAGTTTTATTTATCAACGAATTGTGGAAAAAAGAAAACATTGGTAATGGTATATCACCATGGGGCAACACACCAAAAGCAGGAGGGAAGTTGCTGTGTATTAAGTACGGTCAGTTTACGGCACCAATTTGATATGCAAACATCAGATTACGGGAAAAAAGGCTGCAGCCAGTTTGACACGATAACAACTGGCTTGGCGGTCGCTCACACGTTTCTAGATTGAAAATTTCTTGGAGAAGAAATGAAGCACAACACCTTTTTGAATCAAAGAGAGAATCTATGCTCATCATATTGACCTTATCCCTCGTGTGCTTTGATTCAGAATCCTCATTCAATGAAAAATCTACATCTTCAAGTTGAAATTTTCAACTATATCAAGCTTTTAATTATTTAGTTTTCGGGGTTTTATGTTCAGATCTTCTTAAGCCAAGTTTATGCATAAGAGACGAGACTAGTCCGAGAGCATCAGCTAGCAAAGCACCGGAGAAGGAGGGTTAACAGTACAGTCTCATATCAATGGAAACGTCTTCACTAGGATCTGCAAACGGGTTTTCTCCCTTTGCATGTAATTTTCATGATAAAAAGAAGAAATCGACATGAACTTTTCATTGTCCTATCGAGTTAAACTTCTATGTAATTTAAATGATTAATTATTGTTACAGTATTGCTGACTAATACTGCAATGTCTAGCTAGTCTTGTCTCCTTTCTCAACTTGATGGAAAGTAGCTAAACACCTTTTCACTTTGAAACGTATCATGAAACAAGTGCCTTAATAATCTCTTGGCAGCCATGGATGAACAGTTGGTATAAGCCTTTAAAAGGTCGCCATAATAATATTCATTAAAAAATATAAAGGTAGCATGATTATATATATTTTTTAAGCAATTATGATCGAAAAGTTGTCAAAGCCATCATCCTTAATGATGAATCCATCATCATTGGACGATTTTACAAATGAAGATATTGTGAAGCTTGGTAAAACAATGATATGAGGTAAGACCAAAGCAAGGGTAAGCACTCGTGAGTTGACTAATTCTACATGGTTTAGTTAAAGATACATAGAAATACATACATAGGTACCAATGTTACATGGTACATAGATATATGTTGTCAATTCTTCACACTGTCAAAATAAAGTATTGGATGTCTTCTAACCTAATTTTGTTTTTGCTGCAGATAGTTGGTCTATGACATCCCAAGCAAAACAAATCCATATTAGATCTGTTTTTGGCTAGCTACAACATTAACATCAACTCTTGTTGACAGTAATGTTTTACTAGTTCATCCATTAATTTATTAATTTTTTTAAAAGTAGGTTGAATTTTATAATTTTTCTCTTGATATTTTAAATTATCAATTTATGAGATATAATTCTTTAAAATTTTTGGAAAATGTTATTGTGAATTCAACACTTAATTTAATTGTATTGAAAAAATCATTTTTAATCAATAAACTATGAGAATTCACCCATTTTGAAACAATAAAAGCAAATAAAAGCTTTTCTAATCTAATTTTTTGAACCACGAGCATTATGTCAATAAAAAACAATATTCGCCTTGATTCAAATTTAATGAACCCTTTAAGTAGACAAATTTCATTTTGATTTCTAAACTGTGATTCTATGTTCAACACACACACACACGTGTATATATATATATATATATATACCCTTAACATATGTACATATGATTATGCATTATAAAAAGAATTACATATATATGATTTCATTTTGCAGCTAGCATTTGAATATTTTGAATTACTAGTTAATTAGGTTTCTTATTTCTTCAAATTTGTTTTTCAGCTACCCATCGATTGGTACAAATGGAAATACAATCATGAGTTAGTCGTGCTAAAATTCATATGTTTCCCTCTCTTAAAATAATCTATGTATATATATATATATATATATATATATATATATGTATATTTCGTGACAAACTATGTTTAAATATAGAATCATGAAATCATTTTTAATGTTCCATAAAATAAGAATCGTGCTTTCAACAAAAGGAAACGAACAAAAAAAGAATATTCTTTATGAGCTTGGAAACAAGGTTTTGATATTCTAAATAGATCCATGTATGTGTAATCCAATATTAATTCTATACATATCTACATGTGTTTTTCTTTGTCGGTATAATAAAATTGTATATTTCAATATTCTTCCTAATTAAAAAATATACTACAGTATAGCCACCATATTTTGACTATGACCCAAAAAAGCAAGCTCTCTGTCCTTTGCTCGCACTCCAATTTAATGAAAAATATTCAAAGAAATTGACTAAGGTCTCAAATGTACACATCTCAAATGCTCATCATGTCATCCTTGAGAAAGTCTGCCCGGATAATTTAGAAAAGAAGACAAAAATTGAAAAAATAAAATAAAATAAAATAAAAATGAAAAGGAAAGGAAGGGAAACCTCCCTAGTCCAAGGCCAACTAGGCTCATGTGACCTCAGTGAAGACTCCAACTGATCTACTTGCATTTGTTTTTCAACTGGCAATGGTGGTGGGGGAAGCCCAGCTTGTTCGAAGTACATAGCATTTCAAGAATGTTGTACACTAAGTTTTTCAACTGTAAATGCCTTTTTTAACCATGTCAAAACTGAAGAACCAATAATGGCATCCCCATGCTTTCTTAGCAGCCATTAGCTAGAGAAAATGTTGCAATCATCCCCTCCCCCATTCCTGATTGGGGACACGTGCATCTTCTCAAAATATATTCATGGTCAAAAACATTGGTTAAAAAGGAATTACCCAAACAATTAAGTTCATTTATTTTTGTTGGGAAAATGACCTCAACTTCTCAACTCGTTCATTATTTTTCGTCTGAACCCGTTGCTTTGTTTTGTCAAAACTATAATATTGAATCAATAAAACATTGAACCAATTTGCCTGCCACTAGACGGCATATTTATATGGTGGAGACAAATGTTTAAACTTTAAAGAAAAAAAATATATACATTCAACCATGTTTGAAATTGAGGGTAAAGAACGAGATCTTCAGGTATTTGTGTGGTAACTGGGTTTCTCTGGCAGAATAAAAAAATTAGATGGAAGTCTTCAATGTGAGCTAGTCTCTTTGATTGTGTCAAATTTGACAAAGGAAATAAATAACAACAGAGTAATTTACTGGGATTTATTTAAAATATCTTAACAAGATTAAGATAAAAGTTTTTACGTGTCAAATTAAATGGAGTAAGTACGTAATAACAACATCATTTACATTGGTTTGTCTAATGTTGTTACATGCAAAACAACCAAATAAAATTGATTTTTTTTAAGTTATAATAATAAAAAAAAAAAGCATCAGGCAGTACTTTGTGCATTAAAAGAAGTTTCAAAGAGAAAGGAGAAATGAAATGAAATGCCTTTTTTAATCTTACACTGCCCAAACAAAGGTAGCATTTCAAAACTAAGGAGTAAAAATCAAACCAAAAGGCCAAAAAAAGCAGAAAAGAGAAAATATTGTTCAAAGTCTTGTGGGATTTGACTTTGCACATGCTTTACACGAAAGGATGTTGACAAAGGCTGTTCAGTTTAATATATTTTAGTAATAGTGTGTGACCCACTAATCATTTAATGACCGTAAGTGCCTCTTTTCTTGACTAGAGCTCTCTTCCCCCTTCCTTTGACGATGACAGAATCAGTCAACAAACCTGAACCTCCCGTCGTGCTTGATCCTAATTCATTCACCCGAATTGAACCGCCAAAGCCACAGTACGTTCCTCTTTGTCGTTCTTCAATTGCTTAATTAATTCGACTATCCATCTAACCCACGCAACTGCAAATTACGCTTTTATCTCAACGTTTTGAGTAAAATCTAGAACATCGTTTGTGCTTTAACTTAACAGCTATGAATTTAAAATTTTATATAAAAAATCATTATATAATATTATAAATTTATATAATTTAAATTTTATATATAATAATAAAAAATAATAATCGTATGTCACCCGGTCACCATCTTGACTTCATTATTAATTCTAAATAAAAATATAAAATTCACTTTATCACAAAAGGTGGTAATATATCAATCTCATACTAAGATCATAATATATCATGTGATATTATTATATCACAGGAAGATTGAAAAAAATTATAAAAAAATGAAAAGCTATAGAATAAGTTAACAGGTAAATTAAAAAAATGATGTTATATTTATTTATTCCCTTATCTAATAAATAAAAGAAAAGAATATTCATCTTTTTAAAATTTATATATATATGTATTGTGATTAGCCACTTAAACATATAATATATATATATATACACACTTGATTTTATTTTTAGTACGAGAAGTGCCCGACACGAACAAATGGCTGGGGGTACGAAAGTTATGTTACTTACGTGTATCTCGAAGAAATTAATAAATTAATTATTTATTTTTAAAATTATTTAAAATTTTTTATATCAAATGTATATGTATGTATGCATATATATATATATATATATATATCAGAGATCAAACCTGGCCCAGAAAGCTGTATTTTCTGCTTTCATAATTGCTTCCTAATTGTCATTTTGTTGAAATCATCTCGATCGGATGTGTAACTTGCCTTGTCTTTCTTAAAGATTTATTATTGTTTAATGATGTGTGGGCATTGATTATTTCGATAGTCTTTTACCTTTTGCAGCGTTCTTGCATGAACTCAGTGGAGGAATTCAAACCTACTGAATGGCTGAGATGGCATGGTGTGTCTGCATTCTCTATCAGAGTGGAACAAAAATGGCAAAACTAATACGATCAGTGATATATTATAATATGAATTTATAAATCTCGTGATGTACTCAAAACATAATGTATTATTTCATGGATTAATGGGTTTTATGTAGCTCATGACGTAGAATCTTATCATAAATTATTACAATGCAACTTATGATTCTTCTCAATGAAATAATAAATAAATAAATAAATGTGTATGTGTAAATGTTTTTGTTTAATTTTGATGTAACTGAAGAACAACATAAATATTATATTTTATAAAATAAATTAAAAAATAACTTATAACAAACTTGAAAGGAATAATCCGTTATCATCTACTACGAAATCTAAAAATGTATATGATAAGATAAATTTCGTTGCTTGCAACCTATGAGGGTAAAAGAATTAGACATTGTAATGAATTTATTCAGTCAATATTGATCATCAATGAAGAAATATGATCAATTATAACAAATTTCATCCAATATAAAAGTCTTGTTTTTTATAATATTTTTAAATATGAATTCTGAGTGTTTATGTAAGTTTTAAATAAAGGTATTTTGTTTTAAATTATAATTAGTTTAATTTCTAAGAATTAGAATCTTATTTAAATATAATAATGTGAGGTAATTGGGTCAATAAATTAAATGTAACTTCCTGTCAAAGTTTTTTAGGTAGAAAATGGCACCCTTTGAAAGAAGGGCAATCTGTTATATCTGTTGCCCGTTCTTGAAATTTCTTGCCTAATTAATTTGGCTGCTGGGGTGGACTATTCTCTCGAGTCCTCAGCCAGGGTTGGACCGTATGATAGTTTTAAGTATTAGCATGGCAACACCTAAGCATCTAATTTATTGATTAGTGTATGATTTTTAATTTAAATAATAAAATTTAAATTCTCCTTGTCTCAATTATATGAAAAAAAAAACATGAAAACATAATTGTATGTAAATTTCAAACAAAATTCTTTTATTCACTAATTAATGTTGACCATATTCTCTTTTATACCTCATAATAAGTAAAAAAAGAGAGTAAAAATTAGTTATTATTTTCAATCAAATATAACAAACCTTATCAAATTGAAACGATAAGGTAAAATCAAGTAATTAGTTAGCAACCTTCGAAAATTAGACTGAGCGCCTCAAACTGAAATATCCTAGTTGAAAAGATAAATATCCCAGCTAATAAAACAACCCATCAAATTGGACTTAATTAGTACACATAATAAATGATATGACAACATTGCAATGCAAGAAAAAGAATTACACTTCAAAAATGGGTTCCAATTTTTTGTACGTCTCTTGCTTTACAGCATGGCTTTACTTTTTTTTTTTTTTCTAGTAAAGACTATTTGAAGATCTTATAAAAAAAATAAAAAACAATTTAACATCAAAATTATACTTAAACAACACCCAAAACATAAAACTAGTAACACTTAAAATAGGGTATAAAAAGTCATCAACATCAAATAAATACCAACAACATCGACAGGATATCCAAGATAACAGAACAATAAAAACAATTAAAAATCAATAACAATACCAAGGAAACAAATAGCATGAGCAAGACACACCGAAACTTAAAAATTTATGAATGAAATTTAATATCCACCAAACATTTTGTACTAAAAGTTGATTTTGTGTGAAACACTTAAATCAAAGAGATATTTTATGTATTTTTTTTTCTAAAAGCAACTCCATTTAATGGTTTGAAATAATTAATTATTCAAAGCAGTACATTGTACGGAAGAACCAAATAAATCATTAATGCCAATAAATATTTTATACATTAATTTCAAGATTTTGATTTCAGTATTCAAAAGTTATCACCTTATTTCAGCGAAACTATTTTGTCATGTGAAAACTTTTCCCTTTTAAAAGATAAATTTGCAGATTTGGTTCATAGAACTGAACGCTTCAAACCCACGTGTGTTTACAAAGGGTTTGTCGTTTTGGCTCTGGCAAAACTGTTTTTCTTTGACCAACTTGACCCCCAGCAGAATAATAAATTAGAATATATATATATATATATGTATATATAAAAAAGGCAGTAACATTGGCACCTGAAGGAAAATCCAACAATGAGATGTCAGCGTCGAAGCTTTTGCTTTAACTTTTGGCTGCTTCAATATTCTGGTTTAAACGTCATTTGCTCACGTCTACTTTAATTAATTGGATTATCTGATTAATGCTCTTATTCTTCTACCTTTATTCACCAATTCCAAGTACACGACAAATTCAGAAATCTATGGAGTAATTGTTCAACGTTTTGGTAATAAATAAATCCGCTTTTGGAGTGTTGCTGTGTGAGAGAGCAAATAGGAGAAGAAATCCTCTTTCCTGGAAATTGCCCCGAGCTTCAATTTGAATACAGATGCTTACCCTGTCTTAGACTTTTCAAGTATCTTGTGATATTATAAATAGCCCACCAGGGAGGCCGAGGAAGTCTTAAGCTGAGGGCTTCATTGGAGAGCGCAAGAAAGAGAGATCAGGGACAGAGACAGAGTTTGGGTGTCTGGGATCTCATCTTCAGAGTTCACAGTACAAGATTGTAAAAGCCTGTGTTAATTGAATTAATACAGAGAAAAAGAAGAAAAGATGGTGAGAGCTCCTTGCTGTGATAAGATGGGAATGAAAAAGGGTCCATGGACTCCTCAAGAAGATCAGATTTTAATCTCCTACGTTCAAAAATATGGCCATGCAAATTGGCGTGCCTTACCGAGGCAAGCTGGTACTTTCCGAAGTCTGCTCTCTGGGTTTCTTTTTCCGTTACATGATTAGGACATAAAGATCAAAACAAATTGCTAAAAACTAGTTTTCCTGTAATATTTTTCCTCCTGAAGCTCACAACTCATTATCATATTTATGGTTTATCTGATAATTTTTCTTCTTCAACTTGGTTTTTCTGTAGGTCTTTCAAGATGCGGGAAGAGTTGCAGATTGCGATGGATAAACTACTTAAGGCCTGATATTAAGAGGGGAAACTTCACTTCGGAAGAAGAGGAAACCATCATCAACCTGCATGAAATGTTAGGGAATAGGTATTTATTTAAAAACCCATTACTCAACTCGACGAATACGATTGTATTAGAAATTAAATGCTCCACATGGAAGACTCAACTGAGAGAGAGAGAGAGAGAAGTCTCTGAAATAAATTGGTCATTGGTCGGACAAGTTGTTTTCTCTTTCTGTGGGTTGGTTTTGCGTACCAAGCACTGCAAGTGGGCTGAAATATTCCTTTTCTGTTCAATTCTTTGTGAAGGAAAACTATGGAAAAGGATCCTTAATTTGTAGCATTGTGCAAGTCCGTTATTAATGCTGACAAGACTATCAATTGGAAAAGTCTCATGCGAATCTCTTACATAGATATTTTCTTGCAAAATTTCAGGTGGTCAGCAATTGCAGCAAGATTACCCGGAAGGACAGACAATGAGATAAAAAATGTGTGGCATACTCACTTGAAGAAGAGACTTAAACAATACCAGACCAAACCAGGCACCAAACAAAACACCAAGTCCAAACCCAAGATCAAATGTGAGTCGTCCGACAATATCGTCCCAATCCAATCAGAATTCGGAAACTCAAGTTCCAGCACAGGCAACGATATTCCCGCAAGAACTGAAACTCCAGGACAGACCCCGATGTCGCCTCAGCCGTCATCAAGTGAGATCTCCTCCATTACAAATGCCACCACTACCACAACTGATCGGGAAGTGAACAACACAGATGTCAAGGCTGAAAACATGGACTCCTGGGAATATTTCCCGGAAATTGATGAAAGTTTCTGGTCAGATGCAATGTCCTCCGATAATTCTAGTGCACCATTAACTTTCGAAGGAGTCTCTGATGAATTCCAATCTCAAGTTCCTTCAAGTTCAGTTGATGCCATGGAGACTGACTATGGATATGGTCAAAATCTTGATGATGCCATGGAGTTCTGGTACGACCTGTTCATTAAAGCTGGAGGTGAACAAGAGTTGATTACAGAATTCCATTGACTCTTTATTTGGACTATTACTGTTTCCTGTTTTTGACTAAGAGGGGATAAATACTTATCCAAGGTAGGGACAAACCTGTCCCAGGTCCAAAAGTTAGAATCATCTCATCGACCAAGAAACCAAAAGCAAGTCGTCTTGGGAAGAGTATCAATCAAATGGAAAAATAATCCCCTTGGAGACTTGGTGGTGAAGGGCCAAGCAGGAGAATAAAAGCAGAAAGAAAAAAGATTGACATAGAAACAGTTCTGTATAGCCGCACAAAGCAGGAATTTGGGATGGAGTAGAAGTAGATGCTTATATACTTCAAAATTTAGCAAGTTTGAAGCTCATTGAGCTGATCAAAATTATAACTAGATGATGATGTAACTTTTTGGTAATTTAATTATAGGTCATCTATATTTTTGTATTTACAAATCTTGGTTATATGCTTATAATAAAGTTGATCATTCATTGATGTACAATTGAATGTTTAAACTTATTTAATTTGGTCAAACTTTTTGATTTGCTATTTTTCTCACAAATCAAATCTTAAACAAGCTTCTTGATTAGTTCTTCCTGAGTCAACTTCCAGCAATTAGAGATGGTAATTAATGGTAAATCACTTTCATTATATATATATATATATATATATATCCGAAACCATTGATCATAACTTGATACTTGGTGGTTTTGTGAAGAAAATAAAAAAAACTGTGTTACCGTGGGAATTAATTATGTGCCCTCCTAGAGGAGACAAGTGCAGGGACATCGAGATTTTTTCTTCTCAATTTTCACATGTGCCCTCATTTTTCTCATCTTTTCACATGTAATCTCTTAAAGTTAAACAATAAAGTTTGATTTTCAGCTCCAATGTGTAATCACCAATATATAATGGTTGAAATTTATTTGTGAAGGTTCATCCCTTATGAGGAATATATATAGACATTGAATTTTCAAAAACCCATTAACTTAAAATTTTGGGTTCTCTTAGGTGCTTCGTGAAAGGTTTAAAAATTTCTCTTCCCTATATGGTAGCTGTACATTTCCATATTCATAACTAGTTATGGGGATAAAAAGAATGAATTTTAAGAAACAAAGAAGGGAACAAACACAAACAAAGCAATGTGATTCGGTTAAGGCCTTTACAAAAAGAAAGCGATGATTTGGATAAGACACTGATGGAAGAATTTTGCTCTTTGGAGAATAAGATAAGTTTCTGAGAATCCCACCCTATCCCAGAGTCCAAGTTAAAAGTAGTGCAGCAATAAAAAGAGCCCATTTTCATCGAAATTGCCACCTTCTTCCTCTTCATCATCCATAAAAGGTGGCAATTACCATATGATTTTGGCCCCATAGACGTTCAAGATATTCTGCAAAAGACTATATGCTTTCCATTTTTCTCTTTCCTAATACCATATGCTTTACTAATTAGGCTTTCACGTCTTTGCGATGAAGAAGCAAACCCACTTCAGAGATATTTGGAATAGACTACTAAATATAGTCAAGTCAAAGAAATAGAAAATTCTAATCATTTAAAAGTATTCATTGGACACCACGGTTTGCTCATCTGCCTCTTTCTCTATTGTACCGAAGTCATCCAGAAATTTCTGATTCTTTGCTAATGCCTGGTCTAGTTGTCCTTTGCTTAGTTATTTTTCTCGAGCTAGGAAGATGATGTCTGCCTCGATTTCCATTCTTTTTCCCTCACCCTTTCTTTTGTCATCTTCGTGGAATAAACAATCGCTTTCCCTTTAGACAGCACGATGTATAACCTTTCAGTGCTTACTCCAGGTTCAATGCAATTTCCTCACAATTTAGTTCTCACAAATAACGTGAGGGAAAAGGTTGTGGAGATTTAATTTATAATCTTGACGTCATCGGTAATCAAAAGGTAGCCATAGACTTCTTACTCGAGAAAAATGTGTATTGGCATCAACTTCCAAGCTTAATGGTTGTCAATATCGCATTGAGAGAGAAGATAGGACTGATTTGCATGGTGGAGATCGTACCACTCAAGAAACCTTTACACATTGACATCTTTAAAGTCGGTCCATGTTACTACATGTTGGGGGAACTAGGTCAAGTCTTGATACACAGGTGAAATATATAGTAAAAAAAAATCAAAAGAAAATTATAATTACCAGCGATTGCTGTACTTACGTATTAAGAAAAGAAAAGAAAAGAAACAATCTCTCCTGACGTTATCCTTTTGATTTTGTCAAAAGAGTATTGATGCAATGAACTTAAAAGATATTGGAAAATTTGGGCATCTTTCGTTCAAAACTGGTTTGTTCCATTAACTACATAGCTAGGTCCTAGGTGCCGGGATAGAAACTTTATGGGATGTTAAGGTCAAGGCTTGGCACACGGGTGGAGTGGTAAAAGGGTGAAAGAAAGAAGGAAAGAAAATTTTATGATATCTTGTTGTATGTATTACCTACGAAAAGAAAATATCTTGACATTGGGTTTCTGATTTTGTCAAAAGAGTTATGTAATGAACTGAAGAGGAGAGATTGAAGGGTCTGTTCATCTTCTGCCGACACTTAAGAAAAATCGTGGGATAAATTTGTTTTTCCACTAATAATAAATTTTGTTTGACCTATTTACCTGGTGCTGTAAAGTCCAAGGTGAAATGGCTTATTTTTCTTCTACTTGTAATGCTTATGCAATCTTAAGTAGAGCTTGAGTTTGCTTTGCCTTTGTTTTCCTTTTCTTTTACTTTCTTACCAATAATTCATTTTTTTCCTGGTTTTGTTACCAATAATTCATAACGATGGAGGTCATATACTCTCCATATAGATGTTTTCCTTTTCTTTTGTTCTTCCCACTTTTATCTTCTCACTTTATCTTCTTCTTATGCATAATCATGTTAGACCAGAAAAGGAAATAATAAAAAAAAGACCAAAAACATGGTAAATTTCCACAATATGGATTTCTTAATTGAAAAGATAGAGACAACGCATCCGGTGTTCATATTCCAAGCTCATCAGGTTCAAGTTGGAAGGTAATTTTCCTTGGTGTTTCCACACAATTCAACAGACATGACAAAGAGTTTATTTCATATTACTATAAAATTGAGAAATTATAGAAATAAGCTAACATGGAAAAGACGAGAAAATATCAAAATCAAATCCAAATTCCAGCACATTGCAGAGGAGGATTGAGATTTCACTTAAGCCAGTTAATTTAATATTTAGAGCAGAGGTTCATTAAAAGAAACAAAAGTTGAGTAAATAATCAAGAATAAGACTAGGAATAATTCCATTGGGTTCCCATTTTTGAACAGTTTCTTGGCGTAACGAAGATGGTAGTTTTTAGAATGCCAAAAGCATCAGTGGCTTTAACAGCAAAAGCCTAATGATGCCCTTATTCGTCCATAATGTCAAAGAATCAGCCAGCATGGAGACAGAGATGGAGATGGAGGAGGAGGAGACCCCATCAGCTTGTCGTTACGAGCAAGACGATGTCGTATCAATTAGGATGCCGCTGCCGTTGAGGGTGCTAAATTTTGACTGAAGCGGATCTCAAGAAACCAACCATTACTTAGATCAAGTCAAGTCTTTTATCGTTATATCCCTTTGGAGGACATGATTCATTCAGATTTTCAAGTATATAATCTTATATCATCATAATGTAAGTAATCATTTCGGTTTCTTGGATGGCATTGGTCACCTTTTGGTACCTATAGCCGCATCAATGATCAATGGAGATGGCTTGAACATACACCTTGACAAGATCTCATGGATCCTGGAAGCAACACAATGCCAATACTTTGATTCCAATGCTCAGCATCTAGCGACTTTTCTTACCTATAACATGAAATAACACGATCATGCTATATATAAACTGCCACAATGGATAAGTAATAAGACCACAACTTCCCTATCAAATATTGCTCTCCTCAAAATGCCTCTTGTCCCTTGAAATGACGTTAGGAAGCATATCACCTAATTGGCATTTGCTGTAAAAGAAAACCAAACTTTCACTGCAATCCAGGAAATGTTAGCATGTAAAACACACCAACATATAACTCCAGATACTCACACTAACCAACACATTGGACATTAAAGAAACATAACTTTCATATGGACCACAATAATCTTCCTCATCCCATTTAAAACTGATGCTAAAATCTGGGATTGGTAGCAAAAATCCAAAATCCCCATATCAAGTTAAAGGTGTAATGATGTAAGATCCAGGGAGGCAGTATCCCCATCATTAACAGTTTCTCTAGATTTTAACAATGCTTTTATTCAGAACTGCAGCTCTTACAAACACATTACATAAATGATGAACACATTCATGTGAGGCACGAGTATGCCAATGCCTTCTCCTCACTGAGCTCTTCACCGGTCAAGTCCAACTTCTTCCTTGAGAATTCATCAATTGACAGCCCTGAGACAATAAATGGGCAGAAAAAAAATAATTAAACTATTCTACAAATATTCTTGAAGAAAAAGCTTGCAAATGAGCAATCACTGTTACACATAGGTACCAGAACTACTTCAAACTTCCTAAGCAAATTGAAGCAGTGAATAAAACGTATAACCACAATAAGATTTCAACTAAAAGGGGACACTACACGTCAGCAACAAGCGATGGTATGTTTTTGGAAAAGTAAGAAAAGGAACACAGCTTTTTCTTCCCTTTGGGGGTTTGGAAGGTGTTGGAGGGAAGGGAAGGGCAGGCACAGGCAAAGTGAGTTACATAATTAGAAACATGAAAAATCCATATCTAGTTATTCCTATTGGTTCAACCATGCTGACATAAGACTATGCACAATTAGCACAATTAACACAATATAATGGGATCATGTTTTGCTGCTTTCTGACCTTGCACAATTTTCCATTCTCCATTTTTACAAGTTACTGGGAAGGAATAAATGAGCCCAGCTGGTACATTGTATGAACCATCAGAGTACACTCCCATGGATACCCATGTGCCCTACAGGTGCAACCAAATGAAGCAAAAAAATGAGATCATGACCATATAAAATATCATAGATGAACGTATTAACAACATTGCCAACCTCTGGAGTTCCAAGGACCCAATCACGTATATGATCACAGGCCGCACTGGCAGCAGAGAGTGCACTTGAGAGTTTCCTAGCTTTGATGATTGCAGCACCACGTTGTTGGACAGTGGTTATGAATTCTCCATTCAACCTTTAATAAACGAATAATATCAAAACAATGCTTCAAAATCTCAGTTCATATAAATCTATTACATCAGCTAATTATTTATGGTATTATTTTCTTTACCAAGCATCATCTTTTACAAGCTCACGAACAGGCTTTTCCCCAGATGGAGTCTTAACGGTTGCATGATTGACATCAGGGTACTGAGTTGATGAATGATTACCCCAGATAATCACATTTTTAACATCACAAACTTGGACATTTAGCCTCTCCGAGATTTGACCCAATGCCCTGTTATGGTCCAGCCTTGTCAAACAGGTAATGTTATTGGCAGGGATTGAAGGTGCAAATTCCTTCAGGATCAATGCATTGGTATTTGCAGGGTTAGCAACAACCAGAACCTGAAACAAACAGGGAGTACATGAAATGTTAATCTATAAACCAAGCAACTTTTGAGGGCAACTAAGAAACTTCCAATTTCTCATGACAAGAAAAATATGTCATTGCATAATGGATAGAATGAAAATTAGTTCATTTAAAACAACTTTATGATGTTACAAAAACATTTGACTGTCCAATCATGCCAAATCTGCAACAAATCACAAAATTCAAAATACTCTTCAAAGGCATACAAGAAAATAAAGTTTACAAATTTCAACAAATCATATTGCTCCTCTCTACAACAGGTCAATGGTGGAAAAAAAATAACATTTTAACAATATTCACATATTTTATGCATGAAAAGTAAATAAAGTTAAAAATGGAAATAGAAAAATTTCATTCGCAGGTGATCAAAATGCTAGAACTTTCAACTTGAAATCATTTTTACTTCACCTTGCAGTTTGGAGCTGCATGCTGTTCCAAGGCAGAAGCCTGGGACTTGTAAATTGACACATTCTTTGACATAACATCTTTCCTTTCCATTCCTTCCTTCCTTGGGAAACCACCAACCATGACTGCAATGTTGACCCCGGTGCATGCCTCAACAACATCAGTTGTAGCAACAACACCTGTAAAAAAAATTGTTTTGGTTAGAACCCAAAACCATATAACAAATTCATACAAATTTCGAAAGTAGTATTCATAATAAACCTTGACAGCATCATCCAATATTTAACCAACATGATAATGAACATATACCTTTTAGAAGAGGGAAAGCAGCATCCACCAACTCCATTTTGACTCCATTCAAAGCCTCTGCTGCAGGTGGGATATCAAGCATGTGAAGGATCACAGGCTGGTCAGCACCCAACATGACTCCCCTAGCAATCATGGGCACAAGGGCATACCCAATTTGTCCTGGAAATACCAAAACAATATGTTTCTAATAAATCTTTTGGGAAAACAAAAATGAAAACATTTTTCATAAAATTTACTGATTATGATCTAAGCAAGTCATATATTCATGTATCAAACTAGCATAAAAAGCGTATACTCTCAAAAAAGTTCAAACTTTTAACATATAAACTTGCTCGAGTACTTGTTTAGCTACTACACTTAGATCCACGTTAAAATAAATTACTTTTCACTAATTCTAAGTTTAGATCAATCATTTCTAATCCAAACAATCATCAGTCCAATCGCAACATCCGAAATAAAAAAGTTAAATCTAGATCATGAATAACTAGATCTGAAAAAAGAGACCTGATTTAGCCAATAAAGTTTACTAGATCTGAAGAAGATTGAATTCGAGCTAAGAAATGTTAAGAAACGGATCCGATTGGTGGATATCTAACAGTACCTGCAGCTCCAGTAACGAGGACGCGAACTGGTTCCTTTGCCATTGACGGAGATCGAAGAGAAACAACGACGATGTCGTTCGGAGAGAGTTCAGTGGAGACTTGAGAGAGTGAGCTGAAGACTTCGAGCCGAGGAGCAAAGAAGAGAAAGGTAACGCAAGGAATCAAATATAATCATCCGCAAAGGAAGTGATATTGCCAAGGAAATGGTGATAATATCAAGGGGCGTTTCGGGGATTGCACGAAGCTTTAAGACGCCGTCGTTTTTGGAGGAGAGAATATATGCCGTGGAGATGCGGACAACTTTGTGGAGCCTGCGTGGGTCGTGTGTCATGTGACGACTTGTATCATGCCTGGGGTGCATCAACTTTTAATATCTTTTAAAAACAAAAAGTTGGTTAGGCTAAAAGTTGTGGCTTTAAGCTGAGCTGATGTTGTACCAATCGGTCCAACGAAATTGTAGGCCACAACCGTCAAATACTCAGCCAGATATTTTTAACTTTAAATTAAATTTTTTAATTTAAAGTTTTTTAATATATTTTTTATATAATAAAAATTTTAGATGGAATAAATGTTAAATGATCCGATAAATGATAAAATTAAAGCAATTTTTTTTAAAATTTTTTATATTATCTGCATACAATAATAAAGTCTCGTGGGCTGTTTGTCTGCAGAAGAAATTCCTTTTAAAAAGTTAATGGGCTAAGCCCAGTAAAAACCGACATCAATGTTGTGGTCCACGTTAGGGTTGGGCTCCTCCCAAACTAGACTTGGACCCCTGTAGGCTGGAGCCCCTGGATCCGAGTTAAGAATCGGTTTAGGATTTAAAATTTTTTTTGTCCGTTTATTTAAAAACTATAAATAGAGAAAATCAATCATAAAGGATAACCGGCAAATCCAATCTCCTTTCTCTTCGATTAGGGTTTACTGAGCGCCAAATCTACGAGAGTTTTCCGATTGAATTTGTAAAATTTTATCCTAAAAATCACTAATTTCTGCTGAGCTTTTCTCGATTCAACCATGGCTACCGCATCAGGTATGTTATGTTTTCCATCTCCCCCAATTTCTCGTTTCTGTTTGTTTCGATACCCTAAAAGAAAAAAGATCTTTATTTATAATTGGTCTGATTAATTATTTTGGAATGTCAGTTGCATTTAAATCAAGGGAGGATCACCGGAAACAGCTAGAATTAGAAGAAGCTCGAAAAGCGGGGCTTGCACCGGCTGAAGTCGATGAGGATGGAAAAGAAATTAACCCTCATATTCCTCAGTATATGTCATCGGCACCTTGGTATCTTAATGCTGAAAGACCAAGTTTGAAGCATCAAAGGAAATGGAAATCTGATCCCAATTACACGAAATCTTGGTATGATCGAGGTGCAAAGATATTTCAGGCAGATAAATATCGAAAAGGTGCTTGCGAAAAGTAAGTGAACCTTCTGTTTCTTTTGCTTTGTGTGTTGATGTATTTTTAAACGGAATTAAGATTTTAGACAAAGCATGTGTGTAAAATATTTCTGTTATAGCATGATTGATCGATTTTATTAATTTGGAGTGGAAAGGAATTAGAGTTCTGATTGATAGAGATGAATTCTTGGCTAATGTGAACCTGAAATTGTATGTTCAAAAATCTCTTGCGGTATGAGTTAGTGCTAATTGGGTGCCTCCAATTGCTTCTTTGAAGCTTCCTGTTTAGTTGACAATAATAGGGTCACATTTTAAATGGCCCCTTCTGTAGCTTTGTGTTAAGTATAAATTTGGAAGTTCCAATAGATGTTTAGTTATCCTGGTATGTAATTTCTCGTGTAGGGAACTATTGGTTTATGATTAAGTTTGTGAGGTGCCAAGAATAAATTCATTTAGACATGTTTATAGCTAACTGGATAGGTCTAGACTCCAGTGATAGGATTTTTAAATGCCACATCAGGCATTAGCTGGGTTGTGCTAACTAGATAGAAATTCCTATATTTGCTTTCAAATGCAAAGGGTGCTATGAAGCTTATTAATCGGTCAAGTAGGAAATTGGAGCTTCATATAGTGCTTACATCCTCTGAAACTGTTATATGGGAATAAGTAGTTTAAATAACTGTACTAGATTATTTCACCTTTTCCCTTTTACTTTAAACTGTTATTACACCATAATTCATGATTGATGTGTTTTTTTTATTGCTTGTTGTAGCTGTGGAGCAATGACACATAATTTAAAGGCATGCATGGAGAGGCCTCGTAAGAAGGGAGCAAAATGGACGAACATGCACATTGCACCTGATGAAAAGATAGAAACTTTTGAACTGGATTATGATGGCAAGCGAGATCGATGGAATGGTTATGATGCATCCACATATGCCCGTGTCATTGAAAGGTATGAGGCAAGGGATGAGGCTAGAAGGAAGTATCTGAAAGAACAACAGCTGAAAAAGTTGGAGGAGAAAAATAGCAAAACCAATGGGGAGGAAGAGGTTAGTGATGAAGAAGATGATGATGATGCTCTGAAGGTTGATGAAGCTAAGGTTGATGAGAGCAAACAGATGGACTTTGCTAAAGTCGAGAAGCGTGTTCGTACCACGGGTGGAGGAAGCACGGGTACTGTCAGGTACATCTATTATTACCAACCCTCAGCCTTATGTTTCTTTTTTCCTGCTTACATTATTTGTTAAGGAACTCAATTTCTTATCTGCAATATTGAATAATCATTCTTACATCATATTTGCCTTTATCTTTTTTAGGAATTTGCGTATTCGGGAAGACACAGCGAAATATCTTTTGAATCTTGATGTCAATTCTGCTTATTATGATCCCAAAACTCGATCTATGCGTGAAGATCCTCTGCCTGATGCTGACCCTAATGAGAAGTTCTATGGAGTGAGTGTCTTGCGAATTTTTTTCCTTTGATTGCTGTCATAATATGCCTTAAAGTTAATTACATTATGTGATTCTGACTTGTTCATTTGTTAAATTTGTTACTTTGCAGGGTGATAATCAATATAGAATGAGTGGGCAAGCTTTGGAGTTCAAGCAGCTCAATATTCATTCGTGGGAAGCATTTGATAAAGGTCAAGATATTCACATGCAAGCTGCTCCATCTCAAGCTGAACTCCTGTTCAGGAATTATAAGGTCATCAAGGAGAAGTTGAAATCAAAGACTAAAGATACCATCATGGAAAAGTATGGCAATGCAGCAACTGAAGAAGAGATACCAATGGAGCTCCTCTTGGGACAAAGTGAGAGGCAAGTTGAATATGATCGTGCTGGCAGAGTTATAAAGGGAATGGTACGTATGAAACAAACTTTCTGCTTATTCTAGTTAAGTTTTGGTTTTCCTCTTCCGTTGCTTCCGTTGGTAAGGATTTCTTGGACAAAATTCAAAGCTTCTTAACTCTTAACACTCTGTTTGTTTCACTGAAAATGAACTTCTGGAAGTTGTTTCCTACATTTGCCTATGTTTTCTGAGGAAAACAACTTGATGACCAACAGAAAATTGAGAAATTGTCTTCCTTTTTTCTATAATCCGAAAGACAATTTCCTTTGGTAACCCAACACATCCCGACTCATTCTTCACATGAGAGATCCATTCACCCAAACCTGCTGCTACCCATACCATCACTGGCAACCACCAATTGCCATTCTTCCCTTCACTGGAAGCCTCCAACTGCCATCGTTCTCTATTTTTCCTTGTTCTATTTTCCTCTTCATTTTCCGTCTTCATCAAACACAAGAATTTTTCAATAACCAAGGGCCTAATGGAATCTATTAAGTACTTGTTTCTAGGTTTTATCAAGTTATGTGATAGTACGATTTTAGTTTTAATAGATGTTTTAATTTAAAAAAGCTCTTTATTCTGCTTTCTAACAGTTCTATATTTTCTTTCCCCCTTCAAACTTTTTCTGTAGGAAACATTGCTGCCAAAAAGCAAGTATGAAGAAGATGTTTTCATTAATAACCACACAAGTGTTTGGGGTTCGTGGTGGAAGGATCACCAATGGGGCTACAAATGTTGTAAGCAAACAATTCGGAATAGTTACTGTACTGGTGCGGCTGGAATTGAGGCTGCAGAAGCAGCAACAGAATTGATGAAGGCTAATATTGCACGTAAAGCAGCCTCAGAAGGTAGTTGCTGCATAGTGTTTACGTGGATAATTCAAATTAATGCTTCAAGTTGCTCTCATTCTTTTAGTGATGGTCTTTAAGCTCATATCATATCGTTGGAAGTAATTTCGGTCCTTATAAATTCCTTTAAGAGAAGTCTAGATGGTGATGCCACTGCCTTGTTTGTATCCCTGAACCACTGCCTTCCTCCTTCAAGTTGAACTTGAAAGAATGTGCTATTTTTATTATCATATTTTTGGCTCTAAGTTTAGCGCTTGTTTTTTGTATTTAATCCTTACATCGCTATTCTAATTGGAATACCAACTTGAATGCAGATGCTCCTGCTCCTGCAGAGGAGAAGAAACTTGCTACCTGGGGAACTGATGTTCCTGACGACCTGGTTCTTGACGAAAAACTTCTCACCGAGGCTCTTAAGAAGGTAAATGTGGTGGGAGAATGGTAATTCTTCCCAGTTGTGTACCCAAAAGAAAAATGGGTAACCTTGTGTGAATACTAAATTGAATTTGGAAGGATATTTCAGGAATATGATTTAAGGATGTTTCAGGAATATGATTTACATATCCGCTTATGGTTTATGCATATGTTTTGTCTGGCAGGAGGATGAGAGGAGGAGAGAGGAGAAGGATGAAAGAAAACGCAAGTACAATGTCAGATGGAATGACGAGGTAAATGGTCTATTATCAAACGAAATTTTCCAGATATTATTTCTCTTTGAGTTTAAGTTAAAATTTTTTATATTTGTAGGTATATTTTGCTCTGTTATTAAATCATGTGATTCCTTTTGTAGGTTACTGCAGAAGATATGGAGGCATATAGAATGAAAAAGATACATCATGATGATCCCATGAAGGATTTCCTAAACTAGTGTGTTATCGTTTAGATATGTATATAAACTAGTGTGTTGCCCGTGCAATGTGTGCGGGATCGTTTTTTTTTTTTCTTTCAATATTGCTTGAAACTTTGTAGAACAATTTTGTTAATTAATAAATGTAAGAAATGAATATCAAGTTTGTAACTCCCCTTGTTACCTCTTTCAATTCATTTCAGATTTGAGGAGCTTCATTTTTTG